TAAGACGAGAGAAGAGAGAGAGAGACGGACTGAACGAAGAGCGCCAAGAGGAACGAGAGAGGGAGAGAGAGAGAGAGAGAGAGGGAGAGAGGGAGAGAGAGAAGAGAGAGAGAGGAGAGAGAGGGAGGGAGAGGGAGAGGGAGGAGAGAGAGAGAGATGAGAGAGAGAGAGGAGAGAGAGGAGAGAGATGAGAGACGAGAGAGAGAGGGAGAGGAGAGAGAGAGAGAGAGAGAGAGAGAGAGAGAGAGAGAGAGAGAGAGAGAGAGAGAGAGAGAGAGAGAGGGAGGGAGGAGAGAGAGAGAAGGAGGAGAGAGAGAGAGCGAGAGAGAGAGAGAGAGAAGAGAGAGAGAGGAGAGAGAGAGAGAGAGAAGAGAGACGAGAGAGAGGAGAGAGAGAGAGAGAGAGAGAGAGAAAGTCGGCAGATCTGTAATTCAAGAAGGTAATAGTATTATCTGTGTTATACAAAAAGGGACCAATATTTACCCGATACGTCCGTTGGTATGCCATCTTTCATCGACAGATGAGGAACCTGCTTGAAAAGTTTAAGGTTATTACGGCTAACAGAAAACAATGAATGTGGCAGTGAAATCTGTACCCTGGACTTAAAATAGTACTTTAGAAGGGCCGTATATTAATTGCATACATCCATAATGTATAACTATCTGCATTCTAACACAAAGGAACAAGCGATTATTCGTACTCGTTTTACTTTTTGTACACATCAAATGCATAATCAATGGAGCAACTTTATGAATCCACAACCGGATATCTGGATACGTTGATGTTATATACATATCTGTGAAACTTTCCAGCAAAATATTTCGTAGAAAGGTTGAGTCTGTACCTGAGCTTTATCATCCTTCTTTTTCGTTGTGACAAGAACAGGCGTATCATATTTAACAAGTGAATTAATCTTATTGTCCGTCATTTCGCCGCAAATCTAATGCTCTGTCGTCGAGATTATTTACAAACGTTGCTATGGTAACCAGCTCATCTGATCTCTTGGGTGAAAGATCTTTTTAAAATTATTTGATATGCTAGAATATCTATTTGATAACCATGAAAATAACAAACTATCAGATTTTGACTAAATCATTTTATCATAAATTTTATTTCCACCTGAACTCTTATCGCTTATGTTTAAATTCATTGTATCATGTAATATTATTTAAAAGATGTACTGCCCTTACAGCAGAAGGCAACTTGAGCAAAGATGGCGACGCTCGACCTAGACTGGGAAGGTAATTACATTGTTTTTACATATAAATGTCTCTATTCGCGTGGTTCAAAGCATTTAATTTTGAAGTTGGTATTGGTTAAGATAACATATGTTGAAATTTCCTTCATAGGAGTGATACTTACAAGCGAAGGCATCAGGTGATATTAAACCCGGACGGCTTAGGGATTAGTCAGCTGTCTGTGACAGATGTTCGGGCTGTCACACATCAATATTGTAACTGATTCAGTTATTGTAGGACATGCATCTTTTCCTCTGACTAATGATTTATCCCAAAGAAGCAGTAACTCTTGAGTTAGTCCCCAGCGGAAAGTAGAGGAATGAAGTGCTTTGAGTTGTACAGACACTTTTGTTTGTAGTTATATTTTGGGATTTTATCATATTATCCCAAAGAACCTAGTGCTTAATGGAGAATACATTTTGATGAATATTTGTTTAATTGCTTACATAGAATTAGCACCTTGAAGCCCAACAGCATTACATTAATGCATATGTAGTGTTCCAGTTTGCTAACTTTACAATTTAGATGTGAGATCTCGCATGCACAATCTTCTTACCCTTGTGTGCATTCTTGATTTTATGTGCATTTTTTCTAAAAATATTGAAATCTCCAGGTGTATGCATGTGCACATTTCAAGGTCCATATGCACACAAATCTTCTGAAATTTATTTAATTGCATTTGTTTGAATGGTATGTCTGTGGGAAACTTTTCGTAGCATGACGAGTCCTAAGTTTTCCCAGGCTGTTAATTGCTGTTATGTTGTAGATGTCACATAAGTCCTTAATTTGTTTTGACCTAGGTATGTCTCTGCTATCTGTTATGCTAATGATTCCTCAGAGCATATTGTAGTCATCTCTCGAGGCTAAAAGTCATACTGAAAAGCAATATCACTTGCTTTTCACATAGAATTGTAAGTTTAATGGAGCCCAGCACAGGTGCTACATTTCATCAATCATCTATATGTATCTGATAAGATAGCTAAATTATCATTTTTGGGAATAGAACCAAATATCACAGTTGAAAGTAATTTGAATTAAAAGTTTGTTATTATTGCATCGTTCAGTGTATCATATGCAATGCATATGTTCATATATAATTTGCAATGCAAACTGGTCAAATGGCAGATTATATGTAGACACATCTGTTGTGCTCAAATGCAAAAATTTAGTTCTGTTAAATTACTTCATGTGCATAGCAGACAAAATTAGCAAACTGGGTATTACTATTCAGACATACTGGAAATTATACTAAAATTTCTACAAGCTCACTTCACAATCTCTTACAATATATATATATATATATATATATATATATATATATATATATATATATATATATATATATATATACATATATATATATTGTTTGAAACAGATAGCAGCTTTAAAAAAAAAGAAAGATAGAAAGAAAAAGAAAGAAACAGGGTAATGAGGGCACCATTTTCTTTTGTATAAGAAAAGATCTTGTACTACAGGTCCAGTGCAGTGCAAATAGAATGGGGAAAGTGATTGAAAGAAGAAACACAGAAATAAAACAAGCCACTTAGGGATAGTTTAGCATTCATGCAAATGATTGCAAAATATTTGATAGTTTGATACACTTAAACTAAGACTGCAAACTTAGAGAGGTCCAGAGTAAATCAGTTAATCAGTCTCATAGTGAAAATATATTAACATTTACAACCAGAATGTACAGGTGATGAAGTTCAACTAAAGTAGCTGCTGTGTAATGTGCTTTGAACATGTCTGAATTCAGAATGTTGGAAAAATGAAGGATGACAAAGGAGCACCAAAGGGGCCAGAACAGCCATTACCAGCTTTACATTTATTTATGTTAAACTTTTTTATTGATAAGATAACTGCTTATGAACTAGCTATTATAGAACTTGAAGTCTCTAATTATGATTAATCATTAATGCAGATGTGAGAGACCAGCTTCGGTTATGGCGAGAAGATAACACACGTCACAGTGAAGAGGTGATAGACATGTGGACTTACTGCCTCAAGCATTATAAACACAAACTTGGAGATGAACGTGAGTATTGCTGCCTTTTAAAAACCTGTAACATTTTTCACATCACAATCGATCATTATATGCATATTCACAGTTATTCTTTTACTAATAACCACATGCTTTTATATCAATGTATATTACACATTTAGGTATTACCTTTATTCTTATTTCAAATTTTTATTCCCTCACAAATAGAGAGGCCTACAGAAACTTGGTACTAATTTAAAGGTGACATTGTTCCTTTTGTACAGACATATACTAACTTACAAATATTGGTTGTATGGATGCATTGTAAATTCATATAGGCCTCTGAGAGAGTGCGCGTGCATGTGCGTGTGCGTGTGCGTGTGCGTGTGACTTACTTTACATTTTTCACATCACAGTCGATCATTATATGCATATTCAGAATTATTCTTTTACTAATAACCACATGTTTTTATATCAATGTATATTACAGATTTAGGTATTCCCTTTATTCTTATTTCATATTTTTATTCCCTCACAAATAGAGAGGCCTACAGAAACCTGGTACTACTTTAATGGTGACATTGTTCCTTTTGTACAGACATATACTAACTTGCAAATATTGGTTGTATGTATGTACTGTAAATTCATATAGGCCTCTGAGAGAGTGTGAGTGAGAGTGTGAGTGAGAGTGAGAGTGAGAGTGAGAGTGTGTGTGAGTGTGAGTGTGAGCGTGAGTGTGAGTGCAAGTGCGTGTGCAAGTGCGTGTGCACGTGTGTGCATGTGTGTGCGTGCGTGTGCGCGCATGTGCGCGTGTGTGTGCGTGTGCGCGTGTGCGTGTGCGTGTGCGTGTGTGTGTGTGTGTGTGCGTGTGTGTGTGTGTGTGTGTGTGTGTGTGTGTGTGTGTGTGTGTGTGTGTGTGTGTGTGTGTGTGTGTGTGTGTGTGTGTGTGTGTGTGTGTGTGTGTGTGCGTGAGCGTGTCTGCGTGAGTGAGTGAATCAATCAATCAATTAATCAATCAGTGAGTGATTGAGTCTGAGTGAGTGTGAGGTGACGGTGAGGGTGAGATTCAGGGATGTTTGAATAAAAATGAAGGTGAAATCAAGAGTGAAAGTGAGAGTAAGAATAAGGATGAGAATAAGAGTGAGAGTGAAGTTGAAAGTGATAGTGAGGGTCAGAGTAAGAGTGAGTGAGTGAGTTTTTGAGTTAATAACAAAGTGCGCATAATTTACCTGCAAATAAACATTTTTTGTATAGTGCATTGTATATTGTCTCATTGACTGTAGGATGGATGGTGGAAGAACAAGTAGTCATTGCTGGTTTGGATTGCTTCCGCTTGGATGTTGCCGAACCCTGCCTTATCTCAATTAATGAGCAGTTCCCAGGATCCTTGAGGGTGCGGAAACTAAAAGCCATGCGATTAGAAGCCCTTGAAAGGTAAGGAACTTGTGCACTCAGCCATTTTGCACTAGTGCTGAAGTAGGTAAAGAAGCCTGACCTATGATACGTGACTTTCAGTACCAAAGCTTAACATCTCCTAGAGTTATGATGAAATATTAGCATGTTTGCATGAATTAATGCTTAAGATGAAAATGTATGTAATTAAATTATATTTTTTGATGAGGTGCATTTTGTTTTATATATGCAATACTCTTTTCTCTTATAAGAAGCACAGTGATATCTCATACCTGAGTTTCTTTCATCATAATTTTTCAGCAGTAGATACTCATAATATTTTAAGAATTCATTCTTATTATATATTTATTCACTTAACCCAGTCATGCCTAGGCATTAATTTTATTCAATTAATTATATTTTACATAAATGGCTCCACTAGTGCTTAGTCACCAAAGGACAATTGCAACCCTATCTATCTCACCTATTTACCCCTTTTCCATAAGGAAAAAATATATATTGCTTGTGATATCATTAGTCTATTGGATCTGGGTGCCTTGTGGCGTACATCTGGAGAAGATTCCAGGCATTTGACTTACTTTAGTGGGGGCTTTCCTGGGTGTGTGGCTTGTAGGCCCAACCTACATGAACATCCATGTACTGTATCAGTTTTCTTCATAAGGGTTTTTTTGCTTCTCTGCTATTTTCCAAGGTCTGTATTTGCTCTAGGTTATGCTGTATCAAGATGGTAATAGACTGTTTTCGTTGACCAGACTCAGTATTATCTCTTTAGGTAACCTACAAGTCTGAGATATAAAAGTAACAATGATTAGCAATTTGTTATTTGTATCATTTTTGAAAAAAATGTATTCACTTTTCTGGAACACACAGTCAGGAATAGGATACTGAGCTTGGAACCTATCCTTCCTCCAAGAACTTTGTGTACTCGTGATGAGTGATACTAGTCCTCTGGCGCACTACCTGATAGTTTCAAGAGAGCACATTCCCATCACCTGGGGTTGGCTTTCAGCCAGGATTTTTGATGATAGTATATTCCTGGCACTTTTCCTTCTGCCAGTTTTTTTCACAATAACATATTCCCATCACTCAGCCAAATTTTTTATGATCTGAAAGTCACATCACCTGGACATGATGTGTTAATAACATTATGATTATCATAGGGTCAATAATAGTAATGAGAATATTAATTTTGATAGCAGTAGAATTTTCCTAGATATTCAAGAAACTGTAAAATCAGGTGATTACATAGGACTTAGTCATTGACTTTGTGGTGGCATAGCTCTTGTGAACTATTTTTGATTTCAAGTCTATTCTGTTAATCTACTGGACTCTCCTGGTTGTGTGGCTTGTTGGCCCAGTCCATGCAAATGCTCATGTGGTGTCAAGACTCTTTGCTTCCAGTTGCAGTATTATTATTTTTCACTATTTTTGCCATTTTCCATGGTCTGTGTTTTTGTCATTTGATATGCTGAATCAAGATGGTAATAGAAATTTTTCCTTGCACCAATGCCATATCATCTCACTAGGTAGTCTGTCTGCAATAACCATAGCAAAAAGTAACATTTTCATTTGTGTAATTTATCGTTTTCATATTCAATTTTCTCTAATATACACTGCCACCGGTCATGGTGGGCAGGAATAGGATTCTGAGCATGGAAATTATGTCCTCCATAGAGCTGTTACTCTTCCACTTAGTGCTCACAAAATGTACATTCCATGCCCCATCCTAAGTCTAATCACTGCACAAGAACTTTGTGCACTTGTGGCAAGTCATTCACATTACCTTGGTTTTCAGCTGAAATTCTCACGAGAGCATATTCCCATCAACCAGCCCTCGGCCACATTTTTTCAAGACAGCATGTTCATATCCCCCGGCTCTCGGCCAAACTTTTTTATGATATCAAAGTTACATCACCTGGATCCAAGGTGTTAATTTGATCTATTAATTTGCATGGGTTTTGAAATTACTTTAGCTTTTATAGGAGGGACATCCAGTTAATATCTAAATTCATTGATTATGAGCAGATATTTTTAATATATATATATATATATATATATATATATATATATATATATATTATATATATAATATATATATACATATATATATATATATATATATATATATATATATATATATATATATATATATATATATATGTATATATATATATTATTTACCTCTATTCAGTAAAGCACTTTGATGAAAAATTGTAGAAGAATTTTTTTTTCTTATTTTTCAGTTTAAAAAAAAAAAAAAAAACTATTGACTGATTCTGTGCTGTCCTAATTCTTCTCTCGAGCAGCTGACTATGTGTGCCCTTTTGCATGGTTGGGTATGGCAGCTCCTGTCAAGAGTGGGTCTGTTTGCCTCTGGAGTGCATTTAAGACATTCCACAGTGAGAACGGCACATGTCAAGCCTCTAATCTCCATGAAATCACAGTTTGCACTGTGATGGCTGGATGCTTGGACAAGAATCTTGAAAACTAGCATGATAGGTTCATTATTTCTTTATTATCTGCACCTGTTATATGTAGCCATAGAGTTTAGGTCTTTGGTGTTGTAACAGGCCTGGAGGCATTAGGTTAATGGTTTTCCCATTTTTAAACACATGTACAAAGTATTTTTATGATTTATTTATTAAGCAGGAAATAATATCTAAAAAATGTTCTTTACCCAGGTTTGATGAAGCAATTGACATCTATGACAGCATCATCCGCCAAGATGAAACAAATTCAACTGCAAGAAAACGGAAGGTGGCTGTTTTACGAGGACAGGGGAAGATTCCAGAAGCCATCAGAGAATTGACCGAGTATCTTAAGAAGTAAGTTTCATTAACTGGGTTATTGTGTGTGGCATGCCTTCCC